AACAGTGTGGTAAGTAGATTTTATAAATGATTCAAAATGTGTCTGAATGGCCGGAACACGAAGTAAAACTGGATTAAAGTAAACTTGACAGTTTTTCCTGTTGACAACTTCAGGCAAACATGAGAACATTCCCAAACCAATAGGTTCTTCCTTGCAAATTAAGAGTACCATAATGGGAGAGGGATGTTAAACACATTGAGCCTTGCTTTTGTCTAGGAACACTATTCATTCAAAGATATTTGAATTTTAAACCAACAAACAAATGCCAGATGTGATGGTGCATGCTTGTAATCCCAACACTTGGGAGCTGGGGCAGGAGGATCCATATGAGTTCAAGGCCAGCCTGGGCCATATAGTAAGCTCAAGGCCATCTTGAACTGCAGAGAGAAACCCTGTTTCAAAAATAAACAAATAAGTCAAAGATGAAGAAGAAAACAGAGTCTGGGAAATGAACTCATCCTATACTTCATAACCCTGGTTTCCTGATGAAACAAGTAAAATATTGAAATTAACAAGACACCTGAAAAAATATTGATGTTTCAATTTTCAGTTTACAGCCATCAGCCAGATCCGTCCTTCATGGCCTTGCTTGGGCAGCTGGAGCAGGACCTTGTGGCCATTTCTCCTCTGCCAGGTCATGCAGTACAGGGTTCTACAGTAAAACAGGCTACAGGGACCTGCAGGAGGAGAGGGACCCTTCCTGTGTTTTCTGTGCTTTCTGTTCTTGTTCCTGAAGTATTCACTTAGCATATGAGACACTCAGGCATTTACCCTAGTGAGTTCAGTGGCACCCGGATAGGTAGACTCCAGAAAGTTCTGCTAGGGTCCCAGCCAGCTTCCTAGCAAGCACATCACTCTCACTAGCAGCTTCCTAACGAGTTGGACCGTGCACCTGCTAGGACTCAGATGGTGGCTCCTAGCTGGTGTTCAATCAGCACCTTGTTCAACTCTGCTTGCCCAATGGCTACAGCCACGCCTTCTTTAATAAGACCTGATTCTCCTTTTGAGGAAGGTGGGGGAAAGGTCCAGCTTTCTTCCTTTTTTGAGTAGTCTGCCTTATTCTTTGTAGTAGCTGCTCCTTTACTCCTATAAATTTGGAGGTTCTCTTAATACCCTTGCGAGGCATGGTAACTGATGCCTTTAATTCCAGCACTTCTGGAAGGCTGAAGTAGGAGGACCACAGGTTTGAAAACAGCTTAGGTAACAACAACTTATTGAGACCATGTATCAAAATAAAAAAGTTTAAAAGGGATGGATATGTAGCTCAGTTAGAAGGCCCTAGGTTCAATCCCCAGTACTGCAAAGAGAAAACATCAACAAATCTCTCTCTCCGTGTCTCTCTCTCTCTCTCTGTCTGTCTGTCTCTCTATCTTTCTCTCTCTCTCTCTCCTTATTGTCTCTATTTCCTTGCTGTCATCTGATGAGAAGCCTTTTCTGTTTCTTGTTCCCATTGCTAACATATTTTGACTCTTCTCAGGCCCAAAGCAATGGAGTCAACTGACCTTGAACCGAAACCTCTGAAATCATGAGCCAAAATAAACCTTTCCTCGTTAAGGCTTTTATTCTGGGTATTTTGTCACAGACATGGAAATCTGCTTATCATGGAATTGTCCTAGGCATCTCAGGTATCAATCCAGCTAAGCTTTCAATGTCTGGCCACAACTACATGAGAAACCTCAATGGAAAATACCAGCTGTGTGCTGAGCTAAGCAAAGCAAGCACAGAACTCTAAGAGAGAAAACAAATACCTTCTTTAAAACTGGTACATTTAAGGGTGTTTTTCACATGATATCAGCTAACTGGAACAGACCTCTTGGGTAATAAGCAGTGGGATGTGAAGAGTTTGGCTTGTGTTAGGGAACACAGTCTGGAAGAAGCATGGAGAATGGGTCGAAGAAGGCAGAAGCAGAAGATACCAAGATGTCAGGAATCACTGTAGGAGAATAAACAGATATGGATATGGATAAAAAGAAAACTTTCAAATATAGACATAATTGTGAAGAGAAACTGGCAGAATGTAAAGAACAAATAAAAGTGTTGTGGGAAGGAGAGAGAGGTGGAAAATCTTTGAAGTTTTTGCCCAAAAAAGAAGAGATTTTGTATAACATTCTTAATAGAAAGAAAAGCATGTAAGAAGCACAGATGATGAGATGTTTGTAGTGATGGTGAAGGTTTTCTTGGAAAATATTCATGAAGATGCCAAAGCAGCAGGAAACTTTGACTTACGACATGAGGGTGACTGGAACTTCATGTATCACATACCACATGCAGGATCACGGGCTCACATGTGATGGCGGAGGTCAGGGATGACATCTCCAGTGCAAAGTGTTCAGGGCAAGAAGAAGAAGAAGGTATGAATGGTAGACCTCTGAGAGAACTCAGGGGTCGGAGGACTTGCAGCTTTCACAAAGCAAATAGAAAAGAGAAGACTAGAAACAGAAGACTCATTCTTAGATGCAAGCAGATAAGAGATCAAGAAATATGAAGCTTTAATTGTCAGGAGCAACTGAGAGATCAAGGAAGATGAGATTGTGGTAGCAGGCTTCAACACTTAAAAAGTCATCAGGTCCTCCTGAGACTGCTTTCAACGTCTGGCTTTGAATAGAGTAGTTTAAGAAGCTGAATGGAGGTTTAAAAGCAAACTACAATTATAGCTTATTCTTTAATGATATTTGATGTTTAAAAAGGAAGAAAGGTAAGTGTGTTTCTCTGAGCGTGATTGTGAGCTAAGGGAAAGGAGGAACACAAAGACAGTTTAGTGGTTTGAGATTCCCTGAACCAATGAGAGTGAAAAGATGGAGAAGTTTCCAGAGAAAACCAGCTTATATAGGTTTCTGCCTTTTCAACATGTGATCCACAATTCAGGAGCACCAATATTGCTGCTTAGGAATGCAGAATTTCAGGCCACACTTCAGGCCTGGTAAATCAAAATCTGCATTTTAGCAAGATTCCAGGTGATTAATATGCAATATACGATAGGGATAGGTCAAGACAGAATCTGAAAGAAGAAAGAAGATACAGGACATATGCAGCTATTACATTACTCGGGTCATTTCTTTGTTCAATTACTTGGGCATGTTTCAGCTGATACTTAATGAATTGTTTATATAATTTATTAAGTGCTCTCAAAATCTTGGATCATATAGGAAATAGAGGTTTGCATAATGAGAAATTGTCTTCAGTAAAATTGGAGGAAAACGTGCTCGGCTCACCTTTCCTCTAGGCAGGGTTGCCCATGGTGGAGATGGGCATATTGTCATTGCTTGACTTCATTTTCAAATAGTCTGTTTTATTTAATCCGAGGTTGGACTGGTATTTCTTTTTATAAATCAATTGTGTGTTTAAAATTCTCTTATGTGACTTTATTATGCAGCCAGGGTCAAAGATCACTGAGAGTTAAACACAAGAGCACCCGTAAAGCAGTGGTTCCCAACCTTGGCTGCACATTAAAGTAACATGGAAAATTTGAAAAATAATTGACACCTTGGCCCACCCTTAATGATTTTGATTTAATCATGGTGATGTGTAGCCTTAATCATATAACCCACTGGCACTGTTCCTACTCACCTTTTAAGTTATTTCTTGCCTTTATGTCAGTGGTTTTCAACTTTGGCTGCACACTCAGATCATTTGGGACACTTTGAGAATTACCAGTGTTCAGGCACGTCTGTCAAAAATGCCTGTATCAGCAGTAGGATCCTTAATGATGAAAAGAAGGCACATTCCCTTTCTTTCCAGCTGAATTCCTGTGACATTAACAATCTGAGCTATTCAAACTTATGCGTATTCACCTAGTGCTTACTATATACATGCACTAGGATACACTTACCAGCACTTGATATATGTATGGTAGAAGAGTAGTACCCTGTTTTCCGCCAAGTGTGTGTTCACACAGTGTTCACCCTGTATGACTCATTTTTTGATGGAAGCATATACTGACAGTTCTTTTATTTCCCAGTGCCTAGCATAGATGCTTAGCAATTTACCATATCATACATTTAAATACAATAACAAAACACACTATGGGAAGTTAAGTAAGGTTTTCAAATGCTTATTGTTTTGTTATTTTTTGAGAAAATGAACAGTTTGAAAGTGTCATCAAGATACACAACATGCCTCTAAATTGGTTTTCCCACGTTGTGACCTGGAGACCATATCAAGATTATCTGGGAGTCTGCTGTAAGTGAAGGTTATTGGGTCCCACTTCATATCTACTGAATCAGAATCCTTGTGTGTGAGATTTAGAAACCTATAATAAAGTTTTCTAAACAAGCAACACAGGTAATTCTAATGAATTCTATAATTGTGAACTGTTCCCTTAAAAAGAGAGTAGGCGCAAAAATTGGGAGTAGAATTAATGTGAATAGAATGTCTATTACCAGTTAAATGCAATATTTGATGAACACCCACTTTGAGACAACACAATGTGGGCACATGTCAGTAATGAGGAAAAGAAAGTCTTTATCCTAGACTGGATAATGGAGTCAATTCGTGTGTTGAGTGCCTTGCTAATAGTTATAACATACAGCAATACACTTGTTGTGGTACGTATTCATAGGCCATATTTTGAATTCTCACCCAGAAGGTAAGACAGGCATTACTGCTCCCATCTTTACCTATGTAAGGTTGAAATTTAATCTTTGCCTGAAAGAGCAGCTCTGAAAAGCCAAATGTTTCAGTCTGTGCACTTTTGGATTCACCGTTTTTCAAGGGATAAATTTAGACGAATTATTAGTTTCATTCAGTTCAGAATAATTGTTTCAGGTACTAGAACATCTCTAACGAATCTCTGCAGGTCTGTAGTTCTGGGTGCAGTAGGCAGAAATTTGCTATGATAGTGATGAACGAATTCCCTTCAAGGCTGTCTGAGGTCTCTTTAGAAACATTGACACTGGAAACTTCACTTCCCAGCAGGCCTTGCGGCTGCTGATCTCGCGATGTTCGCAGGGCATCCACTCAAGAAACCCTGGCGAAGTCGGGCCACATCTCGGCCTGACCTATGAGCGCGCAGCATGCTGGGATGTGTAGTTCATCTGCGACTGGGACGCCCCCTCGGATGAATGGGGCCTCGTTTGACTGGGAACTACAGTTCCTTCGTTGGTGGCGTCCGTGGCAGCCGTAGAAGGGACAACCGCGGTCCTACGAGAGAGAGCGCTGCGGAACGGTGGCGATGTGCTGCCCGGGCTTCCTGGGGTAGCGGTATAAGCGGGTGCTTCCCTTGCACGCTCGCTCCTCTTCCCCTGCACCCGCCATGCGCGCGGCGTTTGCGGTGGGCCTGGTGTTCGCAGGCTGCTGCAGTAACGTGATCTTCCTAGAGCTGCTGGCCCGGTGAGTGCTGCTCGGGCCCAACCCCGGCTTGGGGGACTGGTTTATGAAATGTAGAGCGGAGGCGGACGTGCAGAGCCGTGCAGTCCTCTGTACCGCCTAGGACCCACTGTGCTCCCGGTTCTGCGGTCCGCCCGCTGTTCCGCCTAACACTTTCACATCATCCCGAGGGGGGAACACCCAGAGTACCGTACTGCTGTCGTCACCCCGTCTCCACAACCTGGGGACTGAAGTCTGGAGAGTTTTTCAAGTGACTGGTCCAAAGAATTAGTGGCAGCATCCACGTTTTATTCCCATCCAACTTCTGCTCTTCTTCCTGTTCTTGGCACTTGTCTAACTTTAAGCAAAGCTTTTTGAGTCACAGAGCGGTTTGATGTACACGCTGCAGTTTCATTTTTACTAACACCCCATTTGACAAAACACTGGTTTTATTAATCGTATACATGGTTATGCGTACTTTGCCTAAACATACATCTCAGTGAAGTGGAACAGATAAATTACATGTAAAAGATTGGCAGTGTGGCATTTTCAGGTTACTTTGACTCATTGGCTGCTTTTTCCCTCCTGTTAAATAGTATCTGTAGTGTGATTTGGCTGTGTTTTCAATGTATGTATTCTTTCTATTAGTTATCCAAACACTCCTATGGTCAAGAGTTATAAACTCTATTGTGCTGAAAGTGCCACAGTTTCCAAGAAATTAGGTAATCTTTGACTATTTGTAAGCGACAGCACCAACTGGGAACCAAGGTGTCTAAAGTCCTAACTCAGTATCTTTTTCCACCTCCCTGTTAATTTTGAACTTGGGCAGTTTATAGATGTTGGTCATCCAGTTCTTTGGCTACTTTTTCCTTTGATGGTACTCTGCAGCAATATTCACTAGATTTTGTTTTTAAATATCACGTCTATGGTACTAAAGACATTCATGAAAGAGGACTTCTAGAAGTGCTTCATAAAATCGCAATAAAGATAGGATAAGTGTTTGAAGCGAAAGGGAGTATTTGAGGGATGCTACTGGCAGTGTGTCTTTTATTGTAATTTTTTAAAAAGTCACTATATACACACCTAATAGAAATCGTGAAGCACACTGGTAATTGACTTCCCTTACTGTCTTACAACTTTGTTTCAGTGCATGAATACTTTGTTTTATGAGATGTTACAGAAAAGTTGTGGACAGCTACCATTATAAAATGTTTTTGTGCATTAGAGAAGGTACTATTTAGAATAGATTATACATAAAACAGTTTTTTATAAATCCTTGGGTTTTTTTAAATAAATCTTCATTTTGCAGCTACATTTTTGTAAAATGCTAAGAAAGTATATTTAGTCACATAATCAGTGGTATGCAAGACTTCCTAATTTTCTTAAGCAAGTTACAGCTTCTCATAGAGATCAGTAAGGTAAGATCTGATTATGCCAACTAGTCTGCTTCATAGATTCGTTTGGAATTTGTGACTCTTATTTATGAATATCACCATGGTAAGCTCATAAATTTTTATGGAGCAGGAACTGTGCTTTTAATATAACTTCTCTAGAACTTTTAGATACCATAAAAAGTGGCAAGTAAAACTTGAAATATATATGCTGGAATGAATTGTAAGAAAACATTTTAAATTTTTTTTTTTAAATGAAAAGTAAATTTATTTCTTACTGATTTGCGTGCCTATAACTGAGACTAACAATAAAATATAAACAATGCATTGCACTCAGCAAATGGGCAGTAATAAATGAGGGCCTGATCACCCTTCTTAAGGAGTTTATAATCTACCTTGGGAACAAGATACATATACATCCACTAACTAGTTTTGCAAGGCTTTTGCATGGCTTACTTTAAAAATAAGGAAGTTTCCCACAACTAGAAAAAGAAATAAACTATCTGCCCAGTTCATTCTCTTCAAAGTTGCTTTTTTAAAAAAATAAAATAAAATAAATAAAAATTTGGATTCTTACCAAACAATTCAAAGTAAGAGAAACTGCAGTTAATGGGTATAATTTTTGAAAAAAACAAACTTCAAAAGAACATCAGGCTTAGGAAAAAATTTTGAAGTTTTTCCTTCAAAGTTTTAGAATGAGTTCCTCAAAATAAATCCACTGATAGTTATACAGCAATATGTCTTCATAAATGTATCTTCCCAAACCTAGATTATATTAGTACAGATTTTAAGTTTGCATGAAAAAGAGACAAAAGTTAGAGTTGTCAAAGGGAGGGGGTTGTCTCCTGATAGAAATGAAATTTCTATTGAAGGTATCCTACGATAGTAGTGATGGTTGTGGAATTAAAAGCCCATACTTAAAATCACTGAATTTTAATATTAACAATAATAAGGATATAGATAAACTCCATTTCTTTGTCATAGGGCCCTGGAAGATGGACCTAACTAACTTGAGTGAAATAGCTATAATAGGTATAATAATGTCTGTCACCGTAAAATAAGAAGATATGATGTTTTTTTAAAACTATATAAAGAATACACTTGTAAAGTGAATTATTTTTTGAAATAAATGTTCTCTTTTTTTTTTCTTTTGTACAAGTGCTAATATTCTAGATCACATTTGTTTAAAAAAAGGCATTCTCATACTCATTGATGTGCTAGAGCGAGGGACACACAGTCCAGAATCCTTTTTAGATATTTTCCTTAATCACTCCTCTGTTAGATATACTGGAGGTTTGCTGGTTTCTGTACAGATATCTGTGCCTCCCACTTGCAGAAAGAGTAAGATCCTCCCGCATCCAGAGAACCAGTTGTTCTGCCTTTGGGCCATATGTTAAGTCATATTTCTGTTGTCTGCTGGTCAGGAGAAATAACTCAAGGATAATTTCTAGGATATCTGTCGCTGGGATTTGCTACCTAAGCTAAGCAGGCTTTAACTAAAGGCCTTTTAGTTAAGTGAGGATCTCAGTAGGAACATGTGAGTAGTTTCCTGTAGTTTACTAGGAAAGCTGTGCTCTAGCAATGAGTATGGTAGAGTAATTTTAATGTGTGGCCTGCTATACCTAGTAAAGAATGAGCAATAAAGTCCTGACATTCTCTGGAAGTATAATACAAAATGTGTGTGATCAATGGGATGTGAAAAGCAAGATGTGGGAGTGTAGTGGGTAACACAGACCTACTGTTCTTTTTATTTTAGAACTGTAAACGTAACACATTTTAGTGCCCTTTATCTCAGTTTCTGTGCCTCATTTTTTCTTGTTATTCTCTATATAGGAAGCATCCAGGATGTGGGAACATCGTGACATTTGCACAATTTTTATTTATTGCTGTGGAAGGCTTTCTTTTTGAAGCTGATTTGGGAAGGAAGCCACCAGCTATCCCAATAAGGTATGGCACATTGAAGTCTCTTCTAGCTTTTGGTCCTTTTAAAAAGTCCAGAGGTGGTTCCCGTATAACAAGAATAGAAGACATTCTTTTCTAAGATTTCTTAATGCAATGCTAAATATTTTGAATACATGTTTGGTTTTCATTGGCTTTAGTATCTTATTTTCTGCTTCTGCTGACCACCCTTTTCGTCTCGTAGGAGGTCCAGTAGTTTCTAACTCCATTGCCTTTTTCCTGCTTCCTGCCACTATAGTACCCTCAACTACTAGCATTGGTCAGGAACATATTCAGAACCACCATAGCTTTTATAGTAGTATCCTAGCTGGCTGCCTTCTACCTGTTCATCCCTTTCAACTTAACATGCTCTGCTCCCATGATACTCAGAATGAAATCCAGATCTCCCAACTTGCTCTTAAGGCTCTTAAAGCTATTAGGTTATTGTCCTAATAACCTTTCTCCTGTGTGTGTACAGTTTATGGTGGCTCTATTTTTTCCATATGTGAAGCCATAATTAAAATTTCTCCATGGTTGCTTTTTAGGAGTGTTTTGTAGGCAGCCATGTGGAGTTGTTGAACCAATTCTCCTGAAAGACCTTGAAAAACTCTTCTTTTATTCTTCCAGTGACATCTCTTCAAGACAAGACCAAAAATTGGCAGAAGCCCTGTAAAGCCCTATTCGTGCTACTTAGAAGTCGTGAAGGAGCAGTTGCTAGTGATTTTACATGTATGAATCACTATGCTGTGTTTGTTGTCAAGCTCCTCAGACTTTCTAGACTTTTAATGTAGTCTTGGCTGTGTGGACTTCCGTGGTGCATAGTTCACATCTAACCATATCACAGATTAGGTTCTCCTCAGGGAAGCTACCTTGGGGTTCAGTCTTGTCACATTCTTGAAATGTGTAGAAGTGGAAAATGGATAGTAAGCTATGTTCAAAGACCAACATTTGATGGAGAATAGGGAACCACTTATTTACTTTTGCCATGTATTTTTTAGCCAGTTATTTTGAATATTTTTCTTTTATTAAATCTATTAGGTTGAACCATAAAATTGCTCGTATTCTATCATGGCAAAATGGTTTAAACTAAAATGTATGAAAAATATCACAAGTGTTTTCCTAGACAGATTCATTTATTCGTTCATAATTTACGTTTGCTTATATTTATCCCTGTATTTTCAAAGTTACTGTGTTTACTGGAATTTCTTTTAGTTTTTGTTTTACTGTAATCGTAGGATCAATAAACTCAAATAACATGGACCCTGTTATTAAATGCAAACCTATACACATCAAATGACGTCTTCGTTAACTTGGAGGCCACTGGTTGAGAATGTGGGATGATTTTTACAGTTGTGGGCTGAAAGTAAGCCTTGACCTAGCAAACCTTTAGAAAGAGTGAAAAATAAAAGTATAAACAAGTTTATGGAGGAGATATTTGAGAGAATTGACCGTTTCCTTCAAAGGTCTATGAAAATTATTTACAAAGAAGTATTATAAAAAGACATATCCATTCACTTTAAAAAATATTCTGTGATTATCTAGGAGTAGCTATGATTTTTTAAAGCATAGTTTTAAGTTGCTATGTATACTTGAAAAACATTAAAATAGTGTTTCTTTAAACATATTCTGTAATTCTGATTTTTCCCGTTTGGCTTTATGAAGTACCATTACATGTACATAGTATGCAAGTGATAATAATGGTACAGTATTTTAAAGTAGAAGAAATGAGAATTTTTTAAACCAAAAATATATTTATCTTTCTATGCTTTTTTTTTTTCTTTCTGGAATACTAGGTCCTGTGTGATTTGCTGTTCTCTCTGTATTTCAGGTACTACGCGATAATGGTAACCATGTTCTTCACTGTCAGCGTGGTGAACAACTATGCACTGAATCTTAACATTGCCATGCCCCTGCATATGATATTTAGATCCGTAAGTGCTGTTTGTCCACCTGTGCGTGCTCCTCTGAAAAGTGTAATATATAGGTTGATTGAACAGATGAAAAAAGTAGAAAGCCCTTAATCGAAGTCTGGGGATAACAATAGGTTTGCAAAAGCCGGGTATGGTGGTGCATGCCTCTAATTTCAGCACACAGAGATTGAGGCAAGAGAATCACAAGTTCAAGGCCAGACTGAACTACGAAGCAAGTTCAAGACCAATCTGAACTTTTATTTGCTTAATGTGTGATGGGTGATTAATAAAAAAAAATTTCCTGGGAAACAAATTTTACCTTCATTTTCATTTGTTTTACTGATTTTATATTCAGATTTGCTACTAATATTGTTTACCTTATTTCTTGTCACTTACTTCTTTTTTCTTCCTCCAAAAATTACATTTACTTTTGGGACATGAGTTAAAGGCAGGGTGAATATCCCTTATCTGAAATGCTTGGAAACAGAAGTGGTTTGGATTTTGGAATATTTGCATATACATGAGGAGATATCATGGAGGATGGGGCCCAAATCTAAGCAGAATTTATGTATTTTCGAATATAACTTACACACAGAGCCTGAAGGAAATTTTATATAATGGTTTTAATAATTCAGTACGAAACTAGATTTCATAGTGTGGAATTTTCTACTTGTGATATCCAGCAGGGGCTCAAAAAGTTTTGGATTTTGGAGCATCTGATTTTTCAGATTAGGATTATGTAGCCTGTAGTCCTTGTTTCTGCTTGTTTTTAAAAGCAAAATCTAAGTTGATAAAAAGGAAATTCTTGAGGGAAAGAATTTCTCCTTAAGCATACCAGTTTTCTTCCTTCCCTAAGTATGATGGTGGATCCATGTGTAGTTTGTGTATAAAGAACAGTTCTCAGAAGAGTAGGGATACCTTCAAGGGATTTATAAGCAGGATTGCAGAAGAATGAAAAATGGGTGATGACTAGAGTACCATTTCCACATGGCCTGAGATTTTTGTAACATTGAATGTGCTACTCCTGAAAAGACTTCCCAGAGTTAATTATAATATATAAAGGTGACCTTCAAGGCATTGAACTTGTAAGAGACTTTCAATAAACACTTGTTGACTGATTGACACTTGGCCAGAGGAGAGAGTAATACTTGTATGACTTCTTTCATTTATTGTTTTTTAATTTTTTTTTAAACTTTTTTCGGGGCTGGGGATTTAGCTCAGCGGCATAAGCACCTGCCTTGCAAGCAGGCAGTCGTGAGTTTGATCCCCGGTACCGATAAAAATGAAAAAGACAAAAAAAAAAAAAAACTTTTTTCATTTAAACTGGAGGTAGAGGAAAGCTTATTTAGAGCCTTGGAAATTACATAGAAAGGTTGATAAAAGCAAGTCTATGGTAATACTTATTCTTGTTAGCCGTAACTTCAACTATGACCAGTTATTGAGAACCAGTCATTTTTATTTTTACTGTCATCTTTGAAAGGTCTTATTATTTCATATGATAAATTTTTATGGTCTAGACTTTTTGCTATCATGAGAACAATTGAACCTTATTAATAGTTCATTCTGTCCTCGTGCATTCCATGTTTTTCCTGTGTGCATGTTTACATTCACCTTGAATTATGTTAATTCTTTCATTTGCACTAAACCTCTGTCGCCATTGTTCCTTTTACAGGGCTCTCTAATTGCCAACATGATTCTAGGAATTATCATTTTGAAGAAAAGGTAAGCAATATCCTTCCTATTTGATGTATAGAAATGATTCCTGCACCACCATCCATAAATTAGTCACCCAAATTCCTTTTCTCATGATGGTAAGAAGTTTCCCCTGCTCCATTTACCTTCTTTCTTAGGTCTTTCTCTAAAAATGCTGCAGGTTCCTGAGGCAGCTGAGTGGGGCTGAGGCCCTACCTGTGGCTTTGGAGCAGCATCTTCTCTGTAGAACTGACTAGCCCTTGTCATCACCGAATCTTTAGTACCTTGCTAATCCTCAGTACCATAAAACCAATTGATACAGAGCATCACTGTGTGGAGTGGTCACCACTGGCCACATATGGCTATTTAAATTGTTCAAAATGAAGTAAATTAAATGGATGTCTTCTCACTCTCCTTCATCGCATTTTAACTGTTCAGCAGGCACATGTGGCCAGTGATGACCATACTGAGGAGTCCAGGTAAGGTACACGTCCAGCGTGTACAGAAGGAAGTTCTATGGACCGTTCTAACCAAGAGGGTGCTTATGAATACAACTAGAGAATAACCATACTTACTAAAAAGAAAATTCTTGATCAGAGCCCACATTGCCAAGAAGATAAATGAAAAGGCTCAGAACTGTTCTTTGTGGCGGCCACCAGTGGATTTCTCTGGGTAGGAGTGGAGAGTTTCTTACCTCCGGGGTGCCTTTTCACAGTTTTTATCTCCAGCCTTCATTCTGAGCCTCACCATTCACTGCCAAGGAAGAGGGACACTGAGGAGTGAAGCACATACAACCTAGGAAATATTTCTCAGGGAAAGTTCACTCTATTAAGACTAGAATTAGGCTTGCCGATTCTAATTTCTTAATGTGTTCCGTCCCTGCCTTAATATTAGAAGTCTTTAACAGTTTGGAATATAACCATCAGTTCTCATGATAGCAAAAAGTCTAGACCATAAAAATTTATCATATGAAATATGATATATTTTTTAAGTAATAAAAGCTGCATCATAAGAAGGACAATAGTCCTGCCTGACTGGGCTCTCATATGGACCCTTTATCTCCTGAGATAAGTACCCCAAGAATTGATTTCTTTCTAAGGGAAGGTAGGGGAATGGGAAAAAAAGAATCAAGTTATATCATATGCATGTACGAATTCCATATAATCAATGTGATCATTATATATACCTAAAATGTACCATAAACTTAATTAATAAAAAAACTGATTCTTCTAGGATCTTTACATTTGTACACACATATTAATGGTTTGACTTGTTTTATCCAAGGTAACCAACACCTCAGTTGCATAGATTTCACCCAATTGTGTCTCTCGCAACCTTTGATTTCAGTCATAACAGGAATACAAAAGGATATATCATGAAAGCAGTTATGTTCTCCTGATACTACCTCAAAATGTTAGGGACTTTTCTCAACATGTTTCCCTTAAGAATTTCTTTTGAGTCTAGGGCCTGAGATGTAGCCCAGCAGCACAGCACCTGCCTCATAAGCGTGAGGTCCTGAGTTTGATCTCAGGTACCAAAACAAAACAACAAAAATAATTTCTTTTGAGTCTGTCATCTTGACTCTATGTGAGCCTTCTGCCTTCCTTTTCTGTGTGGCAGTCAGACAGCAGGACTTCCTGTAAGGTAACTAATACAGCAATGAGCAGCATATCTGTCTGTTTTTATTTACCGGGAGCAGTAGACCCTCAGATTCATCCTCCCCACTCCAGAACTTGAAGGCCACGTCTGTATTTGCCTTAACTATGCCCTTTGTTGTTTTTGGTCTGAGTTGTAAAACTCTTCATCTTGATCTTTCCAGATGAAGAGATGTGATAATTTTTTGTCTGCCTCAGTGGTACCCACTTCCTCACTCCTCTCATCTTCTCTTGGCCTCTTGGTCCTCCTGACTCTCTCTGCCTTTTAGCCAGTTCAGTTTACCTTTTATGAATAACTGTAACCAAATGACACAATGTTTTTGAGGAGAAAATAATAACATTCATTGTATGTGTTTGATTGCTTTTAATCCTTTCCTTGCTGATCACCAAGAAATCTGAGAAGGATACTAATGACACTATTTCAGTGAATGTGAAATGCCACTGTTCCTTCCATAGTTCTGTAAATTGAATATTTCTCCCTTTTTCCTACGATGAAACATTTAAAAACAACCCTTAAGATAGTTTTTTTAATTAGTGTATGTTTGCATTCGAAGTTCACCTTCATCTGGAGGTGAATGCACACAACACAGCTCGTTTCTTTTTTAAATCCCCTTGCCCTTTCCACCCACTTCCCTCCCTCTTCCAAATCCCCTTTCCCCATTTTCATGCTTATTATTCTGAGCTCATGTTTGCATTCTTAGCTCTTGTATTTGGTGTCTGTACATGCATTTCTTTAATCCTCTTCCTCTCCCCTCCCCCTCTCCTTCAGTCTCCTGGACCCCTTGCCAGTTGCAAGATTGTTTTCCTTCTGCCCATCCTTTGTTTTGCTCATTGTACTTTGCTTTATTCAAATGCGAGATGCCATAGGGTATTTAAGCTTGTGTTTCTGATTTATTTCACTCAACATTGTATCTTCCAGGTACATCCATTTTCCTACAAGTGTCTCGAATTTAGCCTTCTTTATAGCCAAGTAGTGCTCTTAATGCATTCATCTGTTGATGGCATAGACTGCTTAACGCTATTGAATGGCTATGAACATTGGTGTGCATGTATTGCTAATGCGATGTCTTTAGCTCTTTTGGGAAGATCCTAAAGGAGGAATAGCTGGGTCGCGTAAAATTTCCAGTTTTAGTTCTTTGAGAAATCTTCACACTGATTTCCATAATGGTTGTACTAGTTTACATTCCCAACAACAATGGAAGAAGGTTCCCTGTTCACTGGACCCCTGACTTTTGACAATTGCCATTCTTACTGGAGTAAAATGAAATCTCAGTGTTGTTTTAATTTGCATTTTTCTAATGGCCAATAATGCTGAACATTTTTTCATGTGTTTGTTGGTCATTTATGTTTTTTCTTCTCAGAAATATCTGTTCATTTCATTTGCCCCTTGCTTAGTTGGGCCTTTTATTTTGGGTTTTTTAAAAAGAATTTTTTTAAAATTCTTTATACAGTTTAAATATTTGTCCTCTATTCAAGAAATAGGAGACAAAATTTTTTTCCCATTTGGTACATTGTCTCTTCACTAATTAATTCTTTGCTGTTGAGCAGCTTTTTGTATTTTTTTTTTTTTTGTATTTTTTTTTTTTTTTTTTACTGGTACCAGGGATCTAACTCACGACTGCCTGCTTGCAAGGCAGGCACTTATGCCGCTGACCTAAATCCCCAGGCCCTGAGAAGCTTTTTAATTTGACATAGTCCCATTCATTGAGTCTTGGTTTTGTTGCTTGTGCACTTGGGGTTCTGTCAGAAAGTACTTGCCTACAGCTGTGACTTCAACTGTTGTACCTACTTTTCTTCCAGTAGTTTCAGTGTTTCTGTTTTAATGTTGAGATCTTTGATCCATTTTCATTTTCATGTATGAGTCCAGCACCATTTGTCAAATAGGCTACCTTTCTTCCAATGCATGTTTTTGGCTTCTTTGCCAAAGATCAAATAGCTGAATGTGTCTGGAGACCTTACTGAATACTCTATTCTGTTACATTGTTGCATATATCTGACTATGTGCTAGTACCATGCCTTTTTTATCACTGTTGCTTTGTGGTATAACTTGAAGTCAGGTATTGTGATACTTCCTGCTTTGTTCTTGGTGCCCATGATTGCTTTTGCTATTCCGGGTCTCTTCTGTTTCTATATGAATTTTAGGATTGTTTTCTCTAGTTCTGTGAGGAGTGAAGGTTTTTTGTTTTGAAAATATTTTCTCCAAATAATGGGCAGCCTAATAATGTCCTGACTCTTGACTGCTGCTTTTCGTACCTCATAGTCTTTCCTTCCTGAGTGGTGACTCAGGGTTGGTCCCCTTTGAGACAAGAAATGCTGCAGATACCAGTTACTGTCTCAGGCTCTCACTTGAAGTCTTCAGAGTACAGCGCAGTGTCATTTGCAGTCCCTATCCCTATTTTTGTTTTCTGATAAAACAAACTATTTTAACCAATCCCAAAGAAAGATGATAAGAAACTAATCAGGGCCCTGTTTCCTTCATGTACATGCCTATGTGAATTCTAGAAAGTTACATGCCTATGTGAATTCTAGAAAGTTAGTGCCTTCATCACATTTTAGAGACTTATATCTGACTATAAATATCATTTGGAAATGTGTATTTGTATTTTGGTAAGTTTTTTTGTTGTTGTTCTTTATTTGCAGATACAATATGTTGAAATATCTCTCGATTGCCCTGGTATCCGTAGGCATATTTATTTGCACCTTCATGTCAGCAAAGCAGGTGGTAAGAATCACAAATCATTTATATTCACTAATTGCCACGAAGGCCTAGTTATCATGTACTTATTAATAATAAAACAAATTGAAATGCTTACGTAATATGGTAGAGGGTTCAGATCTCTGAAGAAGAGTGGAGAGAAATGGATAACATAAATATTTCCCTTGTATTTAAGCACATTTCTTGTCATTGTGGTCTCTGTACCGAGTATACTTTCTTATTTCCTAGACTTCCCAGTCCAGCGTGAGTGAGAATGATGGATTCCAGGCATTCGCATGGTGGTTACTAGGCAAGTACAGTAATTATAAGAAAGCTAATTGCCTCTGCAGTTGTGTTTGCTTGGTTTTCTCCTAAGGGAGATGTGTCTTGGCAAGAAACTTCAGCTAAACAAATTATGCCATGGAAGAAAGGGGCACCTGGGATCATATAGCTCTGGACCTAGTGTTCAAGAAAATATCCACAGCTCACAAAGTGTGTTGCACAACATGGATCCATGTTTTTCTTGGTTGCCATTGACATAGAAAAATGCCTCCTTGCGCATCACGCTCTTTAAAAGCAGTGTGTAGGGTGTCATCCATGTTTTCATTACCTTTATTAAATGGAAGCATTCTGCAAAGGAAGGATACTTTAGAGCCACTGGCTATTTGAATTTCCAAGAGACCCATTTCTAAATCTTATATTTAGTTTCTCTGCAGGTTAGCTGTTCCATATAGCAGTGTTCCCAAATCTAACTGATCATTAGAATCTCCTGCTGATTTATTTAAAATACAATATGTCTGTGTGGAATTAACTAGACAGCTTCTGCAGAGGCTTGTTCTTGCCCTGTATGGTTTGGACGGGAGACTCTTTCCTGGTACTTTTAGTAATAACGAGAATGAACTTAACACTGACCAAGTGGAAGAGAAATAGCAATGAAAGAACTATGTCCTCCTTACTTCTTGGCTTTTAACCTTATCTTCATAGGTTGCTGTTTTTTAACATGGAAAGATCTTTATGAATTATTAGAAAAATACTTTAACCCAAAGAGAAAAATTTGTGAAGGTTGCAAACATATAATTCATTGAATAAAAATTAATGTCTAATAATTTTATGTTCAGCCTCACTAGTTGTCAGAAAAATGCAAATTAAAACCAATACTTCTTTATTTTTTGGCCTGTCATATTGGCAGAATGATAAATGATTATTCTCATTGCTGTTGAGGATGCAGTAAGACAACTATTTATTTATTTTATTTTTGGTAATGGCCATTGAACTCAGGACTTTGAACCTGCCAGGCAGGCACTTGTGCTATTGAGCTATATCCCTGGCCCAAAACAACCATTTTTATATCAAATATACATTGAGACAGCCTTTCTAGAAAAATAATTGAGTTTTGAAAATGTTTACAACCATGGACCTAGTAATTCTATTTATGAGATTATATCCTAAGGAAATAATTGACATTTTGCTTAAAGATTTGTATACAAGGATATATATTGATTTCAATGAAATAATTCAACCAGTCTGAGTGTGAGGTATATCAGAGCCACAGGATAGAATTAATATACTCTCATTAGCTTACACTTTTGAAAAATTTAATGAAGATCTAGAAGTAAAAATGGAGGAAAACATCACAAGAAAAGCAAGATATAAAATTGTGTATAAAATATTAGCATAAAAATATATACATAAATATGTGGAAAACTATAAAGGACTGAAGGGTGGTATTGTGATTATGTATTTTTAAAACTTCATATGTCATTCATTTTACTTGTAAATTATATAAGCAATTTACAAATAATGTTCTTTAAGAAAATGTCTAGAAATTAGTGTAGGTACATGGTAACACGATGTTTGTTTCATAGGCATTGGGGCACTGACTTTTGCTCTTCTGATGTCAGCAAGGATGGGTATATTCCAGGAGACTCTCTACAAACAATTTGGGAAGCACTCCAAGGAGGCTTTATTTTATAATGTAAGAAACTTCTTAAACCTGGGGAAGTTGACAATTCCTACATTGAAATATGTTATTTCAAGTGAATTTCTGATGTAGTTGAAGGATCAGTTTGTTATCAGTAAACAGCTTTGAGACCTATAGACTGACATACTTATGATAGGGTACTAGTGTGTGATCGGAAACGGTTATCTACAGGAGGTGATCATCGTCAACCAATATGAATAAAGCATCTGTTAACCAGAAGCCGTCTCGAGAGACAAAGGGCCCTAACCTGTGACTTTCTTGTAGGTGAAATCAGGAAACCTATAAAAGAAAAATGAAACTCAAAAGCCACAGGCCAAGGGAATGTGTGCAAGCAGACATCTGTTGGATAGTTTGGGGATGTCAGGACCAAGAGGTTTAAGTCCCCCAGATGGGCTTTATTCATTTGAGAGATGTCATTAGCTATATGTGCTTTGTTTGCAGCTGTTGATCTGGCACCATCTCCTCTAACTTTCCTCCTTCTCTTCTCTCGTTGCCATTGCATATACCAAGACCTGGCTCCTTAAGGTCAGGACGAGGTGGTTGCTACCACATACAGTTACCCCAGGGATTCCATTACTGTTGACTTTTTGTCCTACAGTTGTAAATAAGCAGTTTGAGAGATTTAACTGGAGCTGGAGTATGCGACTGAAGTTTTTGAACATTTTATTTGGTTTCGATCTTTTATTTAGAACAAGGCCAGGCTCGTAGTAACTGTTCAGTAGTAACTGTGCCTCTGTGTTACTCCTGGGTGTTACAGGGATGAGTGGTTTTTGTCATGTGTCTCAGTCTCACGTATTGTGTCTTTTTCCTTTTCAACCTCTTCTTATTCTTGTCTTCATTTCTTTTCCCCTGACCTTGTAATTGTCCTCATATCTCTTTCCTACTCGCTTTCTAAATTTTCTTGAAATCTGCCTCTGTCTTTTTTGTAATTTTAAAATCCATTATGTTTGTTTAACCTTCTCAAAAATAGTAGAATATAGCAAATCCTTTGGGCAGAGTGTTAAGGAAAGTATGTCCTGCTTCACTGTCTGTGATACTTTGCTTTGACTTATATGTGATAGCATCAGATTCTAAAAGACAAGAATGATACTTTTAGGGTTAGTATCATGCCAGATAAGGTCATGTATACAGGGCTAGGAGACACATTTAGTAACTCTAACTTCCTTTCATTTGTATTATTTATTAAATAATTTATATAACCTTTAGCCATTATAAAACTACTGTAATAATTCTATAATGTTTTACACTTAATTCCAATGAAATATGAACCATTGTGCACTGAATCTTCCCACAGCATGCCCTTCCACTTCCTGGCTTTATCTTCTTGGCCTCTGATATTTATGACCATGCAGTTCTCTTCAGTAAGTCCGGTGAGTTTAGAGTTACACAGTAGAAATACCTGCCAGTTTCTAAGACAGACCCTCAGTTTTCCTTTTGACTCGGTCAGTTTTTGTTTTTTACGTTCTTATCTAAATAATCTTTCCCTCCCTAAACTGTCTATCTTCCATGAATAGAGATCGTGCCATTAGTAGATGCAGCAGCAAATGCTTTCACAGATGCTCCTCCATTATCTGCAAATCAAGTAAAAAAACATTTTAAAATTTTCTCTTTTGCTTTGGAATTTGTGTGTTTGCATTTGAACATGCAATTTAAATGTTTTGAGAATGGAAGTAAATAGTAGCAGTGCACATGACACACAGTTCCCTTCTCCTTGGTTCATTTCATCCTTTTCAGCCGTGGAAGGCAGAGCCGTTCACAAGTCCAAGCTGCCTGGGCACCAAGCAGCATTGAAGCAGTGTGTTAACAGGTCTTGTTTCGTTGTTCCTTAGTTTGGCTGTCAAAATGTGGGGGCTTAGAAAGTGGCTCAGCTAGCATGGACAAGGCCCTGGGGTTCATCCTCACCCCTGTAGTGATGATGATGATGATGATGATGATGATAATGACGATTGTGATATATCTTTGCAGAACTATATCAACTTCCAGTCATCGACGTGACAGTGCCCATCATGTGGCTTTACCTGCTCATGAATGTTATCACTCAGTATCCTTTGGAGCCCTTTATCATAATGGTGTCTTCTTTGTTATTTTGACATAGGAGTGTTTTTTGTTTTCTTCTAACAGTGTGAGGAAATGAGGTTTTTTTGCCATGACTTTTTTTTTTCCACAGTAAATGGGAGACAGAGACCCATTGAGACGGCTTCTTGGCAAAAGGTAAAAGGGACTGGTGATTTAGTAGTCAGTAAGTCACAGGGCAGCAGGGAGGAAATGTTGCATGTGGAAATGGAGGAGCCCACAGACTGGTTAAAAACTAGCATATGACACCAGTCATCTGTGATTTAGACCTGAGATTTTCTAATATTCACATATATTTCCAGTTGTCGCAGCTGCCATACGGTCCTGAAAGAAATTTCAAATTAAGGGAGACTTTATTAAATATGTAATTTGAATGACCTTAAATTCATTGTATGTCTCTTACATAGTGAAACTGAATGTTACTAACTTCATTTGTTTGAAGTCATTTTATAGATTTGCCATAAAATTCTTTCATGTAGGAGGGGACAAGACTGAATAAAGGTGGATGGGATCTTACTGTCACTACATTGGAAGTGACCTTTGTTGTAATCATTCAAAGAATCCAAAATAAGGATATGGGATGTTTTTAGGTAGTTTCAAATTAAGATCTGTAAATGGGAAAGCAGGACAGTTCTGCAGAGTGATCCACTGAGGAGGAGCCTCAGAGCAGCCAGAGCAGACTCTCATGGTTTTGTAGATTGTGAAAATATAAGCCCAGAACCATGCCAGCAGTGCCCCCCTGCACCCCTACCTCCCAAGTACAGCTTACAGAAACTGCCTTAACTCCACTCCTCTAGGTATGTGTGCATCCGGGGTGTGTTCATCCTCACGACAGAATGTGCCTCCCTCACTGTCACGCTTGTTGTGACTCTACGCAAGTTTGTGAGCCTCATCTTTTCCATCTTATATTTCCAGAACCCTTTCACTCTGTGGCACTGGTTGGGTACTTTGTTTGTCTTCATTGGGACCTTAATGTACACAGAGGTGTGGAACAACATAGGGACCGCAAGAAGTCAGCCACAGAAGGATGACAAGAAGAACTGAGGTCTGCTGGGACCCGACAAATCGGGTTGTGTGAGTGGGGTCTCTAGCAAAGGTCTGGCCATTTCACTCTGGGTAATGCCAAATTACCCCCAGTATTGAACTAAACCTGCCCCAGAGAACGCTCAGAAGGAGAAGACCTCTCCATTTTCCATGGCTGTCTGGACTATGTTTGTAGACTCCAAATAGATATCCCTCAGCCCTAAAATAGAAAAAAGGAATAGTTCTGTACCTTTGAGCAGCTCATTGATTTGCTGTTTTGTTTACCAGAATGTTCAGAACTATACTTGTTTGTTGAATTCCAGGACCCAGAGCTACTGGTTTTGTATCTGTGGTCTCAGACAAGACCATGCCTTTGTTGCTGTTCTGATGCTTCTCTGCCATGTCAGTTATTATCATCCTGTGGCTGTGTCCTTTTTCCCCCTCTGTCATCCCTCCATACCTCAGCAGCTCTTTGCAATCCATCAGATGCTCCAGGTCCCATCATCCACTGAAAAATGGAGTGGTGAGTGAATGGAGACCCCAGAAACATCAGGGCTGGACTTCCTCCAGCATTTGGAAAAGAAGCAGTTGTCCCCATGAGCTGAGCCCTCATGACAGTGGAGTAGCCTGGTGGACCCCTCTTTCTCATATTATTTTTACCCCCCTCCCCAACAAAAATCAGAGGCTTTTCCCATCTGTTGATCTCTGTGCTTACAACAATTCTGTAGCATCTCATGGAATAATGTTAGTATGAGAGAAAGGTTACACATGGATTGGAAGAAGGAGACTTTTTCCTCAGTCTTGCTTATGAATCCCACTAGCCTGTCACTAAGATGAGGACAGCAGCTGGCCCTGCTCACTCCCCTGATAGCCACAGCTTCTCCTGTAGGCCCAGCCAGAGTGGGAGGGTAAGACTGTGCAAGGCTTCAGAGCCGGGAAAATGAGCTCTGCCTGGTGCTTATGACAGTCACCACCAGCCAGGTGAACAGCCAAAGGTGGGTAGGAGGCGTGGGTATGAGGTCTATATCAGGTCAGATCACAAATACAGTTGAAAGTTATGCTCTTTATTTTTCCTCTAAGGTATCTTTATTGTTCATGTTGGATACTTGGAAAAGAGTTGTATGTACTTTATTATATCAAGAAACATGCCTCTCTTTTAATAACCATTTCTTGGGTCCGTTTTTCTTCTGAAGGGATTATGGCGAGAAAGATGAATGACGTCACTAAGGTGCACAGAATGTATAGTTTGTGTGCAAATGAAAAGCATGTAAATTGGTGTCTTTTATTTGCTCCGTCTGTATTTAGCTCCAGTCCTTCATTGAGTCAATGAATGCGTCTCTTTTTCCTATAGACAAAGGCCTTTCACTTACTGCTGGGTGTGAACTGCACTCTGAAATTGAGATGTGGCTCTCTCTGGGTTGCCCAGGCTTGCTCCTGGCTGTCTGTTTCACTGGCTGCACAGTCTCTGATAGGTCTGAGCAAGGCACTGAGGAGAAATATCCTTAATCCCTGGACTACTTGGGGAAAACATTCAAGCTGTCTCACTTCTTTTGTTACATAAAATATGGATGCTATTTCCCCAGCTAAATCCCTAGGTTTGCAAACTGACCTGTTACTCTGGACAGTGACACCTTCCAGGTAATGGTCTGTTCTCAGAGATACTGAATTAGATGGGAACCCATTCACAAACTCAAAAGCTACTTGCTTTGAAAGATGTGAAGTTCTTTGGATTGATGGAGCCATAAATATCAAATGGTAACTGTCCTCTTAAAAAAGAAAACAATGAAAGCTACTTCTTTTTTCTTGCTGCTTAATAGAAGAATCTGTCCCTTGGGGCTATTTGATTGCTGCAGCTCTGGGTCTCTGGTAACCCTTGGTGGGATACGCCCTTACCTAATAGCACCACCCTGTTTATGCTGATGGGAATACTACAATTTATACTTATTGGAGAAGGGCTAACATACAGTCAGTATTTAACGAGGCCTATCAGATTCTGGTTTTAGGCCAGGTTCCTCTCAGAGTGAATATCTTTCCCAGTCTTGTTGGTACAGGCTGTGTATGGAGAGGTAATATATTAGAGCACTCGTATAACAAAATGAGCAGCCATAGGAGCACAATACTTGAAATACTGTGAGTTGTTTTTATCACTCGTTGGTGCATGTGAGAAAGTATGTTCAATGGACACCATTGAATACTTTTTAAACTACTCTTTAAAAATATTTATTCCCCTTAGTTGACTGATTTTTCAATTCAGGTTGAATGTTTTTCCAACCTTTATTTTTAAAAAGGGCACATAAACTCTTTGATAGAGGATCCCACTCATACCTAAATGGAGGAAAACTAGTAATTGCTTTTCCTCTTTCTTTGGGTCAACATCATGGATTTTGTGCTTCAGAGATACAGAGCATGTGGTTTGTTTATAAAGAATTTAATATTTAAGTCATCTACAGTTCTACCCTAAAGCATAATTCAGATAGCAAAGCACGCTAGCAGAAAATCGTGTGCACCTGTGTGTCTACTTAACAGCGTGGCTGCTATTGTAGATAAGGGAGGAAAAATGGTGAAAGTTTGAATTATATAAATTTAATATCTAGATAGTCTTTAGGAAAATTGTATTGTCACATTATAACACTTTTTTCATTGTTATCAGTAATTTAGTTTTTATTTAATTCAGTGCTTTAAAAAAAATTCTGAGCTTGGGGCTGGGGATTTAGCTCAGCGGCAAAAGCACCTGCCTTGCAAGCAGGCGGTCGTGAGTTCGATCCCCGGTACCGGTAAAAAAAAAAAAAATTCTGAGCTAAAGATAGAACCCAGGATCTCACAGATGTTTTTCATTATTTGTTTCAGCCAAGTAAAACTACCATTAATGCACTTGGAGAGTTTATGTCAGATACTATTTAGACACCATCCAAATACTCAGTGGTTTTGTTGTTTTCTTTTTGCTTCTTCCTTCTCAGAGACGAGGAAAATGAAATGCTGTAGTACTTGAATTTGGTCAGTACTAGAAACGGAGGAAAACCATGACAGCTGAGTTATCTTGTGCCCTCCATAACCCACCTCTCTGTTCAGGGAACAGTATGTGATATTTCTAAAAGATTCTAAAAGTAGGGTTTCCTGAGCATCGTCCACCGCCCCCTTTCTCCCACTTCCGCTCTCCTCACTGCAGCCTCCACTCGTGTGATGTCTTTTACAGACGATACCTATCACTTCATGTTTTTATGTCTTTATTCCTTGGGACCACTGGATGGTTTTGTGGATTTTTCAGGGTATTTATATCTGTGCAGCATGTATTTTACTATATATTTTTTATAAGCATTGATATTAAGGGTGTGAATCTGTATGGGTGAGTCTGACAGAGTTCATCAATATATGCATAGACGAATGTGAACATGAAGGGTTGGTATGGAAAGGTTGGTGTGTTTTGTTATGTTCAGAGGAGTGGGGAATATTAATTTTCTTATGTGGAGCTTTTTACTCCAACTTTATTGGCTTCACTCAGCACTGCCAGGTAACCAATAGAGAGAGGAAGCACAAAACATTAGGAGTACTTCTGAGTCAGTAACTTAGCTCTGGGTACTGAATATGTTCATCAGCAGAACAGGTGACTTGGGTATACAAACTAATGGAGAAATGTCATAGAGATCTGAAACCAAGATCCAATATTTGTTGTACTTTGTCCTCTCTTTGTCTTAGAATAAATAAAATTATGAGTAATTCTGCCCTTGTTAGATAACCAAACCATTTTGATCAGGGCAGCTTTCTTCTGAAAAACGTGGCTGAATTTTGTCAGTGGCAGTTCATGCTTAGATCAAAAGAACTGTTGATGCAGATATAACCAATTCACTGATGTATTACTGTTGGTTGGTGTAACATTTGAGAAAACCTATAATCCATATTTGTAAATAAAGAACTAGTCCTCAGCCTTGGAATATATTCAGTGAGCCCAGAGTCTAGCCTCTCAGCTAGGTAGTATGTTCTCTCTTTCCAGAAGCTTCCTTGCTGTAGACATTCCAGGGATGGGAATCATATCCAATTCATTTCTGTATCACTGGCCCCCGCACAGTGGCTGACCTGTGTTACAAGAATAAATGAATGCTTGCCGTGAATAAATGAACTCGCCCTCAAGTTTCTGAGAAACCTTTTAATGGTTCCTAATACACTTACTCATTCCTCAACACCTGGTTAGCAAGAAAGCTTGTAAGGAGAAACACTCCAGAGGTTCCAGGCAAGAGAAGGGGCGGAGGAATGTTGATAGATCAGAACAGTATGCAACACGCTACCCAACTTTTTGTTCCCTTGATTGCCTGATGGTAGGAGGGAAGATTATATAATTAGCAGCTTACCTGTCTGGTCCCCAGGAAGAAAGGATAAAGAGATTGGAGAGAGTCAGAGTATTAGAGATTCCTAAGAGATTTTGAAATGGCTACCTAAAGTGAGCAGCAGCCCTGCCCTCACATGCCCACAGCTGGTGGTGGTAATGTGTATTGGCAGCTGCCTGGGGAGCATCCCATATTTGTCAGTATCAACCTGACCACCTCCCCTGAGCTTTACATATTAAGTCACTGCTTGCTACTCATCTTACCCAAAGGTGAGCTGCAGGGGATCCAGAGATAGGCGAGAAAAGAGCACTCATACTCCCTTAGAAGAAATAAGGCCCATACTTAAGAAAAAGTAGTGATTTCTTTGGCATATTGAATTTATTTATGTCTTTTGAGATGTAAAGAAGACTTCTGTTAACCAAAATGATGGTTATTCCCCCTAAAAACGTCTTTGTGTCACTTACAATTGCTAGTCATTTCTGTGCAGTTGTTTTTCTTCTGGAAAGTGGCCTCGTCCTTCAAAAAAAGGTGATTTTATAAATGCAGTTTCCTAACAAATTATGGGTAGTGGGGGTGGGGGGGGTAGTGGGGATTTTATCTATTCAGTCTCTGAGCTCTTCGTTGAGTGTTACATTTTAAGAACAAGGATCGGGGGAGGAATGGAGGTATCAGCCGAATATGTAGAACAGCCAAAAGACATTATTGAGTATTCAGACTTGAGCTGTGTAAATATCTAACATCGGCTTCCAGCCTTATGAGTTATTTGAACAGAGAGTTAAGAAGAAAATGGAGATTTTTATGAATAAAATGTTTTGCCAAACTAAATGAGTCTTTTCACCATCATTTCTTTTAAAGAACCTTTTTTTTTTACCTTCTGAAACAGCTTAGCAGACATCTGGTTTTCATCTTGGATTGCACAATCATTGTTTCTTAATAAAAGTGATAAATTTCCTGCAGGTGTTCCAATCACCATTACCTTTCAAGTGCCTGTGCGGAGTTTCAAACGCTCTCCATTTTTTACCTTGTATAGTGGTGGAACATTTTACTGCAGATCAGTGTTAGCAGCCTGTCTTCCTAGTGCCTCCCAGCTGGATCAATAAAAGGTTACTTCTCAGGCTCCAGCCTGTTTCTGCTCCAGAATTTAAAGCAGATCAGCCTACATTTGGAAGTTCTAGAGGTTCATGTAAGTTTGTGCAAAATCTCTCCAAACCTCTTTGCCTTCATAGAAAGACACTGACTTTCATAATGCTGCGGGACCACTCTTTTTCTGTATTTTAGTATGCTGCTTTTACATAAACCTTAACACAAAAGCACTTCACCACACCTAGTCTCTTTTTAATCCTGTCAGGCAGCAGCCCCCATATACAGAAATCAAAGAGAAAAAAAGACTTCTGTAATAAATAGAATTAAAATTCATTTCTTTAAATCTTGCACTGCACTTTTATTAGAAGGATGACGCTACATACTCGTTTGGTTATTTTTTTTTTCTTTCAGTCCTAAGGATTGAACTCATGACCTCGCGTTTGCCACGCGCTTATGCCTGCTGAGCTAAACCCCTTATGCTACATATTATTAAACAGCCTGGAATAGTCTTAGCTTTTGAAGCTTACTTTTTTTTTTTTTTTCCTGAGATAGGGTCTTGCTACATAGTTCAGACTCTGCTTGAACTCACTATATAGCCCAGGCTGACCTTGACCTTGCAGTGATTCTCCTGCCTCAGCCTCCTGAGTGCTGGGATTACAGGTGTGTGCTCCCACACTAGTTTCCCCTTTACTCTTCCTCTTCACTCTAAAATATTAGGAACTGCAAGCTCTTACAAAATGTAGAGCCCTTTGGGAGACTAAATTACCATTTAGTTCAATTCCTTAGCAAATTGTATAAACTCTGCAGTGAAGTAAACTCCACTGTACCCTGTGATTCTGGTCAGCAACAAAACAGTTTCAGATACTGCCATGGTACCCCACCTACGATGTCCCTCATTAATAAGAGGCACAAGCTTCTAGGTGGATGTCAGCAAAGGTTCTTTGTCTGCTATCTTAAATTCAGCATTATAGCAGCATGAAAAATAAGTGCAGATCAGTGAATTGTGTGCTTATGTCAAAAATCCTCTTTAAAAAGAAAAACAAGCACATCTGGCTGTGCAAGTATTTGTTAATAAAGCTTTTCAGTGATGTTCTATATCTGCAAACCAATAAAATCATCTCATCCTTAGAATTAAGTTACTTTAATGCCTGATTGTTTCTTAATCAGCACTTCAAGGAACTAGCATATGGCTGTTATTATTACACATGACTCTGATGCACCAATGTATTTTAAAGCTAAGCTTATGATTATAATTACTGAAATTGTTATTTCCTATAATAGCTTTGAATGACATTTACTGCCTAAATACCTTGCTTCCCTTAAGGCTATATATCTGTATCAGTCTCCTAAAATCTTTAACATTGATAAAATAATGGCTTTCAGCAGTTGAATGGAATGACAATAATAAACATATATTTCCATGCATGAAGTATTTAACATAACTTTTAACCCTCATAACAAATTATGGACATAAGTGAATTATCTCCACTTTACAGAATAGAAAAACGAACCACAAAGGAGCTCTTTAACTTGCCTCAATTGTTCATATGTGTTGGATCCAGAATTTGAACCCTTGAAGACACTGTAGATTCCATACTTCTTAATGGCATTGTGCTACCTCTAAAATCTCAGTAAGAAGGTCATACCATCTTCCTATGTTCTCTCTCCATTTGGTATAGATTTCTGTATGCTAAGTGTCATCAGCAAGTCTTGGACTTGTCGTCTTACCATGTTGACACATATCTGAACCCAAACCCTATTTCATACCTAAGAGATTATAATCTGTTATGTAGGACAAAAAAGAGAAGAAAACCTAGAACACTGCAATAGTCTGTTCAAATCAGAGCATACCCATTTTTCTTGGTACCTGGAGCCTATAACTTTCAGGTTAATCAGCACTGTCAAATACACAGTACTATATAAGGTAGTTAAATCATAAAGCCTTTGTGAATAATTTGCTTAAGTGGCTGTAATCTAAGAGTGTTTAATGTAGGTAGAAACTGTTTCTTAAGTTTCTCCAAGTTCTGGGCCAGCAAGCATTTAAATTACATTATCTCATCCACCTGGATAGATGCCATCCCTGAATTATACTTCGATAATAAACCTCCAAATGTTATACAAAGACATTTTACACTAGTGTTCAATTTGATGATTCAGTGTCTTTGGCACAGAAGGAATTTAATGGATTATCCATTATCCACTAGATTGCTTAATATGCCCCATTCAAACAAAAATCAGCACTATATAATGTTCAAATTTTAGTTTGAGAAAACATTTGTCTCTGCAGATATGTTTGCACATGTAGTCCTATCAGAAGTGAAAACCGTCATCCCTTTTATACAAATTTATTAGGATTACTTTTCACTCTATGTAATAGAAATCCAACCTTTATCACTTCACCTAATGGTATTATTTTCATAAAGGAGACAGGCAGATTGGGGCTGGTTTGGCTATTCAGGGAAGTTGTTGCAGAAAACAAGTGAAAGCTGCTGGAAGGTAACACATCTGCAAAAATCACGTGTCCACCTGCTAGTACCAGGGGAGCAATCATATGGCTTCTTCTTCATTTCTCCCTCACCAGTACTTACCATTAAGAAAAATTTACCCCAGAACCCTGCTGAAAAAGATTATAAGAAGAGTAGAATTCCACACCCTCGGGTACAGGGGACAGATAAGACGGGAAAAATAAGACTGAATTCCCAACAAGTTCACCTCTCTAGCTGGACTATTGAACAATTAATGTTTAACTTTCAGACAAAATTAGAGTTAATTCTGCCTACTGTGATGCTATGGTCTGTTTCCTTCAAATGCTCATTTGCTAGAGTTTTAGTCTCCTGTGTAGCAATGTTGGTACGGTGGAGCTTTAAAAGATTGGGCCTGGGGGAGATGAATAGGTCACTATGGGCGTTACTGCCAGGAAGGATAAAGTTCTCATGAGACTTCAGTGAGTTACCTACACAAAGATTTGCTATAAAAAAGAGTGTGCCTGACCTTTGCATCTCTACTTCCTGTCTCACTGTGATCCCTTCTGCTTGTGGCCAGTTTACTATGCATTTCTTCATCATTTTGTTAGCGAGCCAGGGAATCCTTGTCAGGACACTGATACTATGTTCATGAACCTCTTTTTCTTATAAAGTACCCATTTGCAAGTATTTGTTACCACAACAGGAAATAGACTAATAATCCACTATGACTGTCCCTCATACAAATGAACATGCCATCATTCTTTAACCAGAGAACAAATATGTCCTTTAAATTACTACATCCTGGGCCAGGGATGCTCAGTGGCACAAGCACCTGCCTTACAAGTGAATGGTCATGAGTTCAATCCCCAGTACAAATAAATAAATACATAAATATGTAAGTAAATTACCATATATATTTCTACTTCAGTTATAATTCCATTTTGAAATCTAAAACCAAAAATTAAGTTAATGATATCTAAAACCAAAAATTAAGTTAAGCTCTTACATAAAATGAAAAGGGGTGGGGGTTGTTACTGATTAATAAAATCAGCTTACTAATGTTAATATACTAATATGTCTGTAACAGTACAAGTGTTATAGTTCTCATTTTGCTGCAGGATTAAAGACCAGACCACATGGAAGACATTGCACTGAAAAATTTTAGAAGACATACAGCTTTATTACACTAGTGGGCTGATGGAAATCTCAGTTCCAAATCATCAACTTCATCTTGGGGTAGACCAGTTACTTATATAGGGTTTAGGAAGAAGTACACAAGGCAGATAACAGGATATTTTAGTTGGCTACACATTGGCTTGTCAGACATTACCAGGCAGCTTTATCCTACGTAAGCTTAATTGGGGTTCCTATCATATAATGAGGAGGTCAGAGTCATAGTGAGCAGGAAGAATCAATCATTATCTGAGCTGTCCTTGAGGTGATATATCTTTGAAAACTTCAAAGCAAGCAAAATAAAGCAAGCACTTTATCTTACAAGCTTCAGCTGGCATGGGAATGTCAAGGCCAGATGAATTTTGTAATTTGCTAACTGTATGAATATTCTGTGCTTTCCAGTCCCATCCTTGTATGGTGCTGGAAATAAGATTTTACAATTTCCTTTGTGCTTAAAATCACTCTTACAATTTTAGGAACTGCTCATGTGGCCATTTTTGGTATTTATAACATCTTTACACTCTGTATTCCCTTTACCTCTCCTTCTTCCAGCTCCTCAGATGATAGTGGGTCTTGACCTTGTAGAATGACACAAACTTTCATTCATTCCTGAATAGACTGATTCTTTTCCTGCCCATAATGGTGAACTGTCTTCATTAGCTTTTATCTTTGGATATGGAAGTACTAAGAATGCTTGGAGAAAGCCTTGAGTCTCAGATCCTTTTATCCTCATGATCTAGCAGAAATCCTTTTTTTTTTTTTTTTTTTTTTTTCCTGCAATCAGGAGACAGCTTCAAGTCCTTCCTCAAATGAACCTTTGTTACAATTCCGGGTGATGGTAATCCTCCCTTGGAAACTAATAGACAAACATCATTTCAAGCTATGAGTACAAGAAACAGGAGTTTTCCATGTGGTGTATTTGGGATAATAATGAGAAGCCATTTGACTTCCAACTCCTAATTCTTATTGAACCCTTCTTTTCTACTGGTGGGTGAAGAGGTCCCATAGATTGAATGTAGTTCAAGTGTGTCCTATCTTTTGTGGGTAGAACAGCAGATTTCTGTTCATCTTACAACCTGCCTGTACTGAGAAGGAGCCAGGCAA